GAAAACAATACTGAAATGTTTGAACCAATGTGTTTCATGTTAGCATTTAGTTACTGATGTACCTGCTGTGGGCCTCCCAGCTACAGCACCTTCCAAGATGGAAGCCACTGTCCTAACTGTTCCCACAAGGCCTGTTTCACTGTCTCAGACAACTTTGCCACAGTCACATGAACTCACTGTCGCGCTTGGGTGTTGGCTACATAATGTTTGCGCAGAGATCAGCAACAGCAATGGTGCTATTTATAAGACCTACCAAAGCTCAATCCCTTTCAGCATCTGGGTAGCTGCTCTCATAGTGTTTCACAAATGGGGAGACTTGTAAGTGCATCAATAAATACTGAGTATTCTCTTCCAACACCCAAGATATTGAGGCATCCTTTTAAAAGATGCCAATAAACACTGACAGCCAAGATACTTCCATTTTAGCCAGTTTAATGCTAACAAATGATGGCTTACTTTTCAAAATTCACTCCCTGACTAGAAATAACCACACAAATGTTGACCGGCAGACCCCTGACAGAGGTACATCTGTCCTTTAACATGAAACATCTATTAATACCAACACCTGGAATTCTGAGGCAGGTGTCTTCATAAACTGAAAGAGGCTCTTGCTGGTGACCTCATCTTAATGGCCCAGCATTCCTGTGACAGATTGGAAAAAAAAAAAAAAAAAAAAACACGGATAAAGTGCAGTATTCTTTCCTGAAGCAGGAAGCCACATACTGCCTCCTGAAAGTGTTTTGCCATCCTGAAGGCAACGGAGGTTAGTGTAGCCCAGAGCCAGGCCATGCAGTCAGACTGCCATGTCACTGGACGGAAAATGCTGACAGCTTTAAAAACAGAAGGAACTACATGAAGACACAGATGAAAGGATTTGTGAAACAGATCAGTGAATTTTGCAACACGATAGAGTCTCAAGAAGGGAAATCATCTGACAGACTGAATCATAAATTTGTGCAATGCAAGAACTTATAAAAGCATCCCGGTATGAATCATAGCCACAAAATGTTTTTCTTTTAACATCCTTACAGAAACCAAGTTTGTGAACATAGCCACTCTTCCCAAGTACTTGCCCCATTTGATTTCAAACATTATCACATTTAATAATTTGATTTAAAGTATTAAAAAATTTACCTGAAGATCAACTCATCAAAACTAGGTGAACAACACACACACACACACACACACACACACACACACACACACACATACATACATACACACACTAGCTTCTAGCACAGCAGATCAAATGAGTAGCACTTTCCCCAAACCAGCTTAAGTCACAACAGCCGCCACCCATACTATTTTTAGTATAATTCCTCAAGGACAATCTAACCTATAACCAAACACCAGAGCTTTGTCAAAGCTGTAAATAATTTTTAGCAATCATTTAGAAAGCTTTTGAAATTTAAAAAATGTGCTTATCTGAAATACCAGGTAACTGTTAAAATGAACAAATTCTACACCCTGTCTCTAATAATCAAATCATATCAGTAACTTTTTTGGTGTTGTATATACATTGGTTTTTCAATGTTTTGTGTAAATGGGCATAACCTCTATGAGTCCACTGAAAGTCAAGGTTGCCCATAAACATTTGTGCCAAGAGGTCTGTCCTTATGTGGAACAAGGAGCGGCAAGAACCCTCCCCCACCATGCTGTCTTTGTTCATTCCCTTCCTAATAAGGGTCTATCATACAGTAAAGTTATTTGCTTTGAGTTGTATAGCAACTTATAAGGTGTCCTGAGTATCTGAAGTTTCAAGCATTATCTGGGGACCATGGAATGTATTCCTTACAGACTTGGAGGGATACTGTATGAAATATGAATGAGTGACTACAATCCACTCTTCAAGGACTGTAATTGTTTCTGATCAGTTCTTAGGAATAATGTCCTATAGCTACTGGTCTGCCAATGGTGTTCCTTCAGCCCCATGGTCACTCACTTCACAACCAGCCATGGGTAAGGACTTGGTGACCCAGGGTGCCACTTCCTTGGTACAGACTGCTTGATTCCCCTCTAATCATTTTCCTGTTCTTTGCTAGAAGAACCCATGGTCAGGACTGGTGATGAGGTAACATGGCTGTGGCACAAAGTTCAGGGCATACAAAAATGGATTAATTATGACAAATATTTCAAAATGCAGTATTTCTAAAAATTAAAAGATCAACAATGAAGTAAATACCAGAATTTTAAATGAGCATAGAATCAGTATCACCAGTTTGCTTTTGTCTCAATCCCTAGCACAGTACCCTTATATCGCCTGAAGGCACGGACATTGAGTTTTTCTGGTGCCCCTTTAAACTTCACACCCAAAGTGAATACTTCACTTGCTTTATCTTAGCCTTAGTCCTGATGAGAGGCAGCAATGTGTCTGCATTTCCTGAACTCCTTTGCAGATGGGCCACTGGTGAGATTTAACTGGAAGAGTTAGGGAGGGCTGCGAAAGCACAGGCTGACTCATCTTTGACACTGGCTTTTCTCTTCCTGGGACCATAAGGGCTCCAGTGCCCATGACAAGAGGGACTCAGAAAATGAAAACCCTGTGCTAATGATGGGGGAGGTTTTACAGACAGAAGAAGCCTGGGACCCTGGTGATATCACGAAGCTAAGATCTTGGTCCATCTGCTTCAGGATTTGCTACCTGAAAATAATACAATCTTGATTTTCTTAAAGCACTACATCTGGATTTCAGTTAATAATTGATAAATGCAGTTTCTAATGCATATACAAATACAAAAAACTAAACACACCACCACCTTCTCAACGCTAACTGTAAATCTGTTTTTACTCTATTCTAGTGTCAATTTATTACCTTGAAGTCCATTTCATTTCCTTTTCAGTGACGGGCAAAACTTAGGGAAGGCCAGTGATTAGACACGTGCCCTCTATGGTGACAAGGCAGTACTCATACCTGCTACATAGTGACAAGCAGGCATTCCACAGCAAGTCAAGGTGCCAGACAACTGTCCTGGTACAGGCTGGGCAGTGTATCTGCTGGCCTGAGGGACTTAACCTTGTATCTTCACCTTCAGAGTCTCCTCACGGCTGTACTCTGCTCTCTCAGGACTTTTGGTTCACCACTTGACTAGTGTAAGAACTAACTTAGAATCTAGAAAACCTCTTTCCCATTCCTGATACTGCTAGGATATGTTTGAACAAATGAAGCTTTGTTCTGTAAGCTATGAGAGTAACTCAAACCATATGAACAAAGTGTCATCTGGTGCAAGTCCTTAAAAGACCTGTGACAGATGTGTATGCAAAGAAATCATAAGGAGCAAGAAGTACTAGCTTGTGGATGTACTGTTGACCCTGGTGGGGGTGCAGGATGCCAGGGTAAAGGTAAGCAAAAGCAGAGCTTTCGAGATCTCCCTGAACAAAGGAAAGAGGGGTTTTCTATGACTAGGAAGATACCGGTGCCTCACTAGAGGCTCCTGAACCAAGGTCAGATGCCCCTTTTTAGCAGAGTGAAAGCCTTTCTCCCTGCTTGTGTGGGTTAGGTAATAAACCCTGTGCCAAAAACCCTAATCTACAGGATCAGCTCTGAAAAGAGGAAAAGAACTTTGCCAAGCATTTATCAACACCTGAAATTGTTTCTTTTCCTTCCCAGAACGAAAGCCACTTTATTTACATTTTTAAACTTCAGGTCTACCACTTCTCTCCAGACCTGTGGGTCCTGCCTCACATGTTAAATCATAGCTTTAAGAAAGAACAAATGAAGGTGACTGGATGGCTATAAATACAGCCAGTCCCTTGGCCCAGCGGAGATGGAGACATCACATGCTCTATTTGGGAGCCTCCATGGCCTTCCAAGAGAGCAGAAGAGCAGGGGCTACTCTGCTCTCCTGGGAGAGAGAAGCTAGGCAGCTGTGGTAAACCCAATCATAGGATGCAGGATGCTGGAGCAGGGAGAAAATGTGGCTAGATCCCTGTGCCAAAAGGTACAAGCGGGGATTCTCTGGGTCCACAGACCTGACTCATAATACTCTGAAATCCCTCACAGAGGGGCATATCAGGGACCAAAGTTATGAGAGGTCAGGAAGAGCTAGTTTCCTCAGGCCTGGACCCAGCAGGAGCTCCCCAGCTACATCAGAGGCAGGGGGCATCCCTGGGAATGGCCATGAGGTGGAGGGAGGGCCAGATTAGGAATCCAGGAACCCACTGCTCTTCCAGCTACAAGTTTCTTTGTTCCTTCAGAACCTCAGCGAGTTCCACCACAAATAATGAGGCCATTAGTCAGGAAGGGCACTGCTGAGGGTCCCTCACAGCTCTGGTGGCCGTGACTCTGTGATTCCATGTCCTGGCATCACACTCCTCCCCGGTACTGACTCACCCACCACTTGGCAACTGCTGGGTTTTCTTTTCCTGACTGTCCTGATTCAAAGCGAAAGAGGAATGGAAAGGCAGAGTTCCTAGGGCCTCCTCTGCCTAAGCAGTCTGTTTGTGTCAGGAGACCTCATCATCAGGGACTTCCATCACCCCTAATTCTTCTCTAGCAACTCTCCCCATCCCTGCCAGATTGGGGCAGGAGGAAGAAGATGGGACAAGAAACACTCAAAACCACACTGCCACTACTACAGCTGCTCAAGTCCTCTAAATGGGTTTTCTCTCTACTATATGACCATGGCAAAAGCGTAAAGGTTTTTGTGGTATTTTGTTTTAAGTTAAATAAGTTTATTAGACTACAGGGTGGAAAGCCATTGACTTCTTTGGAGGGAAGCGGGGGGGGGGGATGTCCCTTTTGCCATGTCCCAGGACTGTTCCCACTCTATTTGCACAAAAGGAAGTAAGGCTTCATAACCCTAGGACACACCACAGAGCAAAACATAGCTGCGATGCGTAGGGAAGGTGTTTTGTCAAGAAGGGGTCATGGAGACGGTCCAGTACTGATGTCACACTCAGCATGAGGTCAGGTGGGACTTGTCCTACCCCAAACCACTCACTGTGGGGAAACAGGCATGGCTGACTCCTGGAAGCCCCCTTTCAGCCTCTTCTCAACTCACTTGCTACATCTCCTTGTCTCTTCTCCTCAGCACATCCCAAAGGGAAGAAGACATTGTCCCTGGTGATGAGGAGGAAAGAACAACAAGAATGACTCTATGACCCCTTTCTCAACAAGTGCCACACAAAATTAGCATAGCCAAAGTAGAGGAAAGGAGCCAGGGGAGAGAAATCCCAACTGGAGAGCAGCTCCATTACATCAGCCCAGGCTCTGACCTCCACAGGCCTGCTCCCCTTCTAACCCATGGCCTCCCTACTCTGCTCATGTCTCCCAGGCCCCATGCCTCCTGCGAAGCAGGGGGAGGCTATATATAGCCTTGTTCCTCTGGAGTTGGCTCTGGAACGCCTGAGCACCAACTGGACATATTGAAACTATTGACCACTGGGCTGCATTACTGTGGTACTCCACATCTCAGGGGCAGGCTGCCTAGAGGCTCTGCCACAGACCTGATGACCATGATATTTGCACATGACTGTAAGCACTGGATTCTGACACATGATAAACATCTCTGGGGTATAATCTAGAGTCTTCTAATTTCAGAGTTATTAAAAATCAAACTGACTAGGGCTGTAGAGATGGCTCAGCGCTTAAGAACACTGACTGTTCTTGCAGAAGACCTGGGTTCAAATCCCAGCACCCACATGGCTAACAACTGTCCGTAACTCCAGTTCCAGGGGATCTGACAGTCTCTTCTGTCCTCTGCAGGCATTGCACGACACAGGTGCACTTATCTACATACAGGCAATACATGCATACATATAAAATAAAAATAATAAAATTAAAAATTAAAAAAAATCAAACTGACTACCCAAATCCTTGGGAGGATGGAGGCATTTTCCCTTGGGGGTATGGAAGTGCTGCTGGGGTGTTGGAGACCTGTGAAAATGACACTGGCAGGGATTCCTCTATGAGGTCACCTAGTCACAGCTTTCACCGAAACAACTGAAGTTTGTCAGAAGCCCATGTCAGGCTCTGAAAACAGTCCAGTGACCAAGTCTGACCAAACAGAGAATGGAGAGAATAAAAAATTTCAAGTGGGATAAAGACCTGACTTCAGGGGTGCGTAGGAGGAGGGAGGAGGGTGCCATGACAGGAGGGCACCACGACAGCACTTGGCCAGGACATTGCAAACAGCTGCTGCCACTACTGTCCACACTCAGTTCATCACCAAAAACTCCTCTCCAGAGAAGCATCCTTCAGGGAGAGGAGTGTCTCTGTCCCTGCCCCTAGAATAACTCTAAAACACCTACAGAACAGTAGGAATGACTTTTATAAAAAAGGACAAAATCCTGACTAACGACTTTTAATTAACCTTGAAATCAAAAAGCTACTGGAAACTCACTGAGCTAAGTGCTCTTGTGACCTGGGCACCTGACCTTGATCCCTCAGGAACCTCGATTTGCTGCTCCACCCAAAGATGGTGAATGAATATGGGTATGCTTGAGAATTAACAAATCAAAACACTGAAAGGCAGAGCATCTTCATCGAAAACAATGAAGACTGAGAAGAATGCTTGACCTTATATGAGATAATTTTGATCTAGGGATGAAAGGGCAAGATTGTCTCATAAAGATAAGGATGGATCCAAGCTTGTAGTTCCCCAACTGAAGCTAGAGAAACAGTTTTGAATAAAAGTATGGGTGAAGCCTTACTCAGCAGCACAGTTCCAGGAGACATCTGGGGGAATGGGTATCCTTCTAGTTTGGGCTCACTCTTAAAAAATAAAGTTAAGACTCAGGCTGCTCATTAAGGCATAACTGCAATATGGCATGGTAACTATACCACAAATTTGGCCTTTATCTTTTTCAACCAAGAGATCCCAGAATCCAACCAGGGAATGTTTTTTATTCTGTTTTCCAAGTTGCAAACTATTTAGATCCTCAAGAAAGCGTTAAAAATGATCAAAGTAAATTTTAACCTCACGGCTTCAGTATCTGGTCTGATCTTGTATCCTTACAATTTGGGTAAAGTCTGCTTTATTATGTTACCAGAGCCTCCGTTATGTATCAGTCTAGTGCTGTACTTCTTTGAATTAGTCATCACATTTATAATGTTCAGATTCTGTCCAACCACAGGCATTGTGACCAACACTATGATTATAATATGCAACACATGTAATCTTGTTATCTGAAGGAAAGTGTCACCACTGACATGCAACAAAAACGTCATCAGAATGTTTCATGGAAACAGTAGTACTCTGTACAGATGTAGTCCAAGCCCTTGCAACCCAAAGGAACTCCTGGGAGCCATACCACGGCTAAGACCCACTGAGTCAGGATCTGCATCTCACAAGCACGGGTATTGTCAAGTTTCAGAAGCACTGCTCCAAGACTGCTCTTGTCCCACCCATACCGCGGCTTGGACACACTGAGTCAGGATCTGCATCTCACATTCATGGGCATGGTCAAGTTGCAGAAGCACTGCTCTAAGACTGCTCTTATCCCACCTATCTCCTATACATAAAACTTTGGCCCCTGACGTGAAATTACCTTCACTCCCTAGAAGTCACTATAGCTTTCTCCAAAGGTCCTAGTAGCTAAAACAATTGCAATCTGACTGGCACTACACCCACCTGCTGTGTGTGCCCTGGACCACTCAGCCTTCTCCCTTGATTTGCAAGGCATTGTTGGTCCAGGAGGGTTTTAAATGTGCATGATTTTTTGCTCCCCCCAAAATGTTTATTCATAAGGAAAAATCTATTTTTAAGCATCAATTGCCTGCCTACCCTGGCTCACAGGGTACTTCTCCGCCCATTTGCCCAATTAGAACGATCATATTGTTTCCTGGCATACAATTCCAAGGGCATTGAACACAAGCAGGGGACCCAGTGAAAGGCTCCAAGAACAGCTCCTAGTGAATGGAAACAAGATGATTTTTGCTCAAAGCAATTTCCTCAGCACCCACCCTTTCCTCCCACCATGGACCCCATGCTGAAGAGATGCCAAGGTCACATGCACGAAACAGAACACCAACAGATGCAACACATATTTTCATTCTCTCACAATGCAGCAGACGGAACAGCCAATCAGTTAACTCCCCCATTATCCCACCCAAGTGGAAGGCTTAACAACATAATCCCAGTTTCCCAGATGACAGAGAGTCCAATTTTTTTTTAATGTGGAGCGATGTGCATAAACCTATCTAAAGTTCAAAAGCTATTTACCTCATTGCATTCTTCAAACTGCGTGCTTTGGGGATCCTGGATATGAGCCTAGCAGAGCATGTACCTTACTGTAACACTGTTGTACTTCAGGGCTGGCAGCATTTGAGGCCATTTCTTTTCTTTGCTCACAGTAGAGGGCACTAATTCATCATAGTACTTTCCCCAGTGAGCCTCAATACTGCCTTAAGAATCCTCAATCAAGGCCCAGTCTTGTAGTACACTAACCCCCGCCCCAGAACTCCTGAACTGGGGTCTACATTTTCACAAGTTGCCCAGGTGACTCATCTACACACTGTGAAGTGGGATGCTGGGTTAGGGAGACAACTCAATTCATAAAGTATGCTCTTTACAAGTGTGAGGACCTAGGTTTGATCCCCAGAACCCAAGTAAACAAGTCAGTGGAACACACCTGTAACCCTAGTACTGAGAAGGCAGAGACAGGTAGATCCCTGGGGCTCACTGGCTAGCCATCCTAGCCTAATTTGTGAGCACCAGGCCAGTGAGTGACCCGTCTCAAAAAGATGAAGGTGGACAGTACCTAAGTACCTGATGCCTGAGGTTGTCCTTTGCTCTCTGTGTGCAAATACACTCTCACACATGTGCACCCACACACACACACAGAAATGGGCTGCTGTCACTGATGTGAGTCCATAAAGTGACAAACACCTGCTCTCTTGGGCTGCTATTTTGAGCCTTCTAACTTTTACATCTGAACTTCTCCCTTCTAAGTACTAACCAGGCCAGATCCTGCTTAGTTTCCAAGATCAGATGAGATCTGGCACATTCAGGGTGCTATGGCTGTAGACAATGTCTCAATTTCTACTCCAACTTCTTCAGGGGTTCCAAGTTGGAGGCTCGTATTCAATTAACCCATTAAAACAGTTTAAATCAGTAGCAAACATTCAAAGACAGAAGACAATATAAAAACCTCGATTTCTGGCAGCAAAATATCCTTATACTTGACAATACTGAGCCCACATTTGTGCATGACTATAGATAGGACACAGATTCTATCTGTGTTTATCCAGTCTCCGAATAGTCCCTTCTGCCTTAGATGGCCTGTTTGACTCTGCCTGCTTGAATGTGTGACTACATCACAGCACAATCACTGTTCCCCAAATCTCCTGCACCCACTGCTTATCCCATTATTACCTCTACCCATTGCTCACACCACCATCACCTCCAGCTGCTTGTTGGCTCCTCTCACTGCCATGAAGGTTAGCAGCCACACGTGCACAGTCACAGTTCCCTTGGCCTTGGGAACCCATGTAAGGAGAGGAGCACCTGCCAGAGGAGTTGTCCTCTCCATACAGCCTCACCTGAGAATCACAAGCCACCCAGCCATACCCTAGCAAACAATCCTTCAGAGTAGGAGCCATCCTGCCCAACCTGCTTCAGGTTCTTAGCTCTGCCACTCAGTGGTAGTGTGACTATCTAGGGCACATTGCTAGACCCACCCCTGCCATGGTTTGAGTGATGATGTCCCCTCCAAATTCATATTTTAACAATCCTCAAGACAGCAGTAGTAAGAGGTAGGGTCAGTGTTTGCCTCAGCAGCACATGTACTTTTAAAAAGGGTATAACATGGAGAAGATTAGGAGGGCCCCTGAACAAGATGACAGGCAGGCATATGAAGTGTTCCACAGTGAAAGAAAGAACTGGGACCTTTGGGAGGTCACGGAGTCACAGGGCTCCTTCCTCATGTATGAATTGGTACTCTTATAAAAGGACTCTAGGTCACTTGGGTAGGGAATGAGGCACTGTATTGGAGGGGAGAGGGGGGTTTGACTAGGCTGTCTGTATCAGCACCCGAGCATGTGGGCTGGAGGACTAAGTCCTGAAGTTACACAGCTGTTGAAGCTTTGAGTGGTGTTTTCCTTACCACCCCCCTCCCACC